ATTGGCCGACAAGAACAAAACCGACCCGGGAAACTTGGGCAAAAGCCTCGATCCTGTGTGTCAATCCGTGAATCCGTGAATCCTGGGTTTGCTCATGCCGAACTATAACAAGGTGGCACTGGCTAAAATCTACCAAACGGCCAAGCGCGATATTTTAGGATACTTAAGAACCTCGTTTTATTACGCCAATCAGATTTTTTGTCAAATGCGACTTAATTCCAACAAAAGAATCGATGTCTAAGACGCCGAAGTTTCCGTGAACTTTTTTCTGCCGTAGACCAGATGACCGGCACGTTAACTCAACTGACATCGATTCCGCTTACGAAAAATCAGACATCTCACTAACACTTCGGTGCTCAAAGACGTTCGGCTTAAAGTTTGTCATTTGCATTTATCTTCTCATAATGTGACCAATACATGGCACTTATTTCTGTGCCGGCGCCCCTAATCTGAACTGAATATCTCTCGAACCGTTAAATGCGCCCCAAATACGCCCTTGTTGCCTTGGAGCATTTACAACATTTGTAATGCGTTTTCGTGTTCCGGTTGCAAAATGCTGAAGTTCTTTAGATTTGTTCTAGTTCCACTGTTGCACTTGTTTATTTTAAGCCCAGTTACCGGTAAGTGATGACAACCACAAAATTTTCGATTTTTCATTTTTGTGAACAATGAGGAGTCCATGAAAGGCTCCTTAGGATTTCAATAACAAATGTAACCGTCCTTTGGTTTATGTGCACTAAAACAGCGTTTCTAAGTGTTTGATCCAGTTGCACTCAGTCTTTTCCTAATGTGCCACTCTTTTTAAGTTTTACCTCGTTGGCTTACACGGTTTCTACATGCATGCGTTGTGAGTGTTGTTGACAAAATCAGTTCTACCTAAAGTGCCTGAGCGACTATTTATAACCGTGCGTTCGAAAATGAGGTATCTATTGCACTGTTGTAGTGGTCTGGCCACCCAATAAGTTGGTTTACCACGTATAATAGATTCCGAAGATGGTCTGCAATGTTTTGGTACCAGAGTTAGTACATGAGACTCGCGAATGGCCGCTGCAAGCCAGAGCGAAATCAGAAGAGAGAGTCTAAGCACGTGACCACGCTTGTATTCTGTGAAATTGTACAAGTGCGCGTTTTTGTAGTTTTTCGTATTCAAACAAAAAACGATTATGCAATTGATGAAATACGTAGTGTTATAATGGAGGCAAAATAAAAGGTACAAAACGCCACACCACTCCCCCACTAGAGCGTTGACCGTGAAAGGGGAAAACCCTGGAGTAATTAAAGTAACGAATCAAAAAGTTGTTCACTTCAAGTTTCGTAGTCAGCTAAGTGCTGAGGGAAACGGACGCGTCGTCCGGAACGACTAGTGGAGGGAGTAAGGTTGGTGGCAGGGATATCTTGACTAGATGCGGGTGTTGTTCAGATAGCGAGATTGTTTAATGTGGTCGTGGGTGCTTCGATGTAGGCAGGTTTCAGACGATCAATGGAGACGGTACCGTGCTTTCCGCCTCTCTCTAAAACAAAGTATTTGGAGTGACGTTCGATAACCTTGAAGGGGCCATCATAACAGGGTTGGAGGGGTTTCCTCGTTGCGTCGTGTCAGACAAATACAAATGGTGTAGAAGAGAGACCGGTTGAGATGTGTTCTGTTCGGGTTGATCGTCTGGTCGGTGTCGCACGAAGTTCGGCCATATACTGTTTGAGACGGGTGACGAATGTGACGAGTGATTTGGGCTGTGCGCCAGGAGGGGAAACCAGTTCACCGGGTGAACGTAAAGTTGTACCGTACACTAATTCGGCTGGTGAACAGTGAAGATCCTCCTTAATAATGGAGCAAATAGCAAGCAAAATGAGGGGCAAAGAAGAGAACAATGAAGATGGGTTCATTTGGGCAGTCAATGCAGTTTTGAGGTAGCGATGGAAACGCTCAACCAGACCGTTGGGACGGGGATGATACGCGGTTGTCGAAATGTGATGGAAACCGAATAGTGTAGAAAACTCACGGAAGAGATTACACTGAAATTGTGAACCGCGATCGGTAGTAACGGTAGAAGGTATGCCAAAATTATTCGCCCAGTGCTGCGAAAATGAAAGTGCAACCGTTTCAGCTGAAGTATCCGAAATGGGTACAGCTACTGGTCAACGGGCGAAACGATCGAGTAAGAATAACTGGTCAACGGGCGAAACGATCGATCGTGGTAAGAATATGCGTGAAACCGTTTGATGGGGCAACAATGTCGAGATGGACGTGTGTTAATCTAGCATCAGGAACGGCAAATAAACCGATAGGTGGGTTCGTATGCCGAGTTATTTACTGCGTTGACAGGCGATGCACTGTTTGGCCCAGGGTGCCAGGTCCTTATTCAGGAAGGGTCATACGAAGCGTGCACTAATTAACTTCCTGGTTGCTCTGATTCCTGGATGAGAAACTCCATGAAAGTGGTCGAAAACAACGTGTCGAAAGGCTTCGGGGACTATTGGGCGAGCTGAGCCGGTAGACATATCGCAAAAAATGGTTCCGGATTGCAGGGGTAAGGGAATCGAAGGGACTTGAAATGGAGGGAAGGATAGAATGAGCAAAAAATTTGGATCACTACTTTGGAAGTTCGCCAGCTTGGCTAGGTCCAACTGCGTGGAAGGGTGAAGAGCGTTGATGTCTGGACGGGATAGTGCATCTGCGATGACATTGTCCGAACCTGGAGTGTACCAAATGTCGGTAGTGAACCGTGAAATGTAGTCAAGATGGCGTATCTCGCGTGGTGAATATGGATCAGGCTTGGCGTTAAAGGCATATGCGAGTGGCTTATGGTCGGTTTGGATGGTAAATGATCTACCTACTAACAAGTGCCGGAAATGGCGAGTAGCAAGGTAAGTTGCGAGTAATTCACGACCAAAAGTACTGTAACGCGTTTGGGCAGCCTGCATCTTCTGAGAGAAAAACGCTAGTGGTTGAGATGCGTTGTTAACAACTTCATGAAGTACGGCGCCGACGGCAGCGTTCGAAGCATCAGTTGTCAAAATCAGCTTTGTGCTTTCGTGAGTATCGAGGAAAGATAACTTAGTGGCCTGAGCAATGGCTTGCTTGGCTCTTTCGAAAGCGGCAATGGCGGCCGGGGGCAAAGTAACAGAGTTTTCTTTTGAGCCAAGTAAATCGGTCAGTGCCTGCAAAATATCTGCACAGTGAGGGATGAATCACTGGTAGTAGTTGATGATACCTATTAAACGACGAAGTTGGGTGAGAGTGGTGGGTATAGGAAAAGACTCTAGGGCCAAAATGCGATCGGGTAATGGTGAAATACCTGTGGCGTCAATGTAGTGACGAAGAAAATCTAGGCTAGTAACACCGAATAAGCATTTGTCAATGTTCAAACGTATGTTGTAAGTGAAAAGACGTTCAAACACCGCTCTGAGATGAGCTGCATGTTCAGTTGGGGAGGTGCTAGCGACTAAAACATTGTCAAGGTAGGTATACACAAACGGTAAGCCACGTACAACCTCGTCCATGAAACGTCGAAACGTTTGGGCTGCATTTCGAAGACCAAAGGGCATACGCGTGAATTCGAAAAGGTTAAACGGTGTTGTGATGGCTGTTTTAGGAATGTCATCCGGGGCTACGGGTATGTGGTAGTATGCTCGTACGAGATCGAGTTTGGAGATGTTTGTGTGGCATACGGTACTTGCGAAATCGTGGATATGTGGGATGGGATACCTGTCTGGGATAGTAGCGTGGTTAAGAGAACGGTAATCTCTACAGGGTCTCCAATCACCTTTAGATTTCTTAGGCACCATATGTAGGGGTGATGACCAATGACTCGATGAAGATCGGATTATGCCGAGTTTGAGCATGTGTTGGAAATCGTGTTTTGCGAGTTGTAGCTTATCCGGATGAAGTCGGCGGGGGTTGGTGTGGACAGGTCGACCTCTCGTCTGGATGTGATGAACGACGGAATGAGTGACCGGTTGGGCGTACTGACATGGATGAGTAAGGGTTGGAAAATCCCCAAGTATGTCAGCAAAACGTGAATCCGGTAAGATAACTCGGATACCTGTGGATGAAGTTGGGGCACTAATTCCGTTGACTAAGAGGGAAGTTAGCGTGTCCAAGAGGCGTTTGTGTTGCACGTCGACAGACAGATTGTAATGAGTCAGGAAGTCTGCACCGATGATGGGTGTTTGGACGTCGGTCAGAAGAAAGATCTACTTGAGCGCACGTCGCAATCCGAGGTCAAGGGTGAGGGAACGTTCGCCGTATGTAGCGACGCGGGCACCGTTAGCGGCTTGCAAGGAGAAAGAAGGAGAATCGGGAAGTGGATTCTTATGTGGTAGCACACTAACTTCAACTCCCGTATCTACGAGGAAACGTAGACCACTTGAACGATCGGCGATGTGGAATAGGCGACTGGTGCGAGGAGGGCTGCAGACAGTCGTCGCCGTTATTGACTTACCGGGGTGTTTAAAGGGGTGTTAGAACGCGGCTTGAAGGAACAAGGTGGTTGACACTTGCGTGCTTTTGGACCATAAGATTGGTGATACCAGTACCAAGAGGGACGGGCACGAGACAACGATCTGGATTGTGAACGTGGTCGATGCTTTTTATCTCTAACCGTTGAAGGCGATCGGCCAAAGCATCAAACTTGGCTTGTAGATGCGATATAGAAGCAAGAAGCGGGTCGGAATCTGTAGTAGTGGGCGCAGGGCGGTAGACGGAGTTTACCGGGTTACTGGGGTAAGTTTCGTGGACCTTATCCGCCATTTGGGCTAACTGCTCCAAGCTGTGGTCATCAACGAAAGCGCTGATGACGCGGGACATGGAGGGTGGAAGTTTGTTGGGCCATAGTTGGGCCATGATATCCACCGCTAGCTTACGGCCGCAGAGAAGACTGCGCATGTGGCGAAGCAGTTGTGATGGCTATCTGTCACCAAGTTCGACAGTGGTGAATAAATCCCGTGGCATTTTGTTTTCTGACTTCCCTGTCTTACTTATGACGGCCGCCCGAAGGGCGTCATAGGGATTTTCCTTTGGGAACATCTTCCAACAGATCTTCCATTTCTGTTGCTACATCACAAGGAAGATGCTGGACAACATAGGAAAATTGCTTGGCTTGGGAAGTGATGCGTCGGGTAGTAAAAACGGCCTCCACCTGGTGAAACCATACCCTGGGGTTGCGTTGATTGTAGTCTGGTAAACGCATGCTATTCGCATTCTCGACTAAATCCGCTGAATCAAAGTGTGTCTCCATAATTACCGGGCAAAAGAAACAAGACTACGACGACTTGAAAGGAAAAGCTTTCAAAAAAATATCTAGAAATACTCGGGTTCACCAAATTTGTAGTGGTCTGGCTACCCAACAAGTTAGTTTACCAGGAGTGTGTGGCAAAGAAACAAAAATAATAACGCTAGGTTGAGTATACAAAAATAAAGAGGTCAGATGGAACAGACTCACTAACAGTTGTTCTCCTTAAAATGGTTCGTCGATGGCCCAGGTCAGCGAATAAACAATAATCCAGTTATGTTGGTCCAGAGGTCTTCTTCTGAACAGTTCCCACGTATAATAGATTCCGAAGATGGTCTGCAATGTTTTGGTACCAGAGTTAGTACATGAGACTCGCGAATGGCCGCTGCAAGCCAGAGCGAAATCAGAAGAGAGAGTCTAAGCACGTGACCACGCTTGTATTCTGTGAAATTGTACAAGTGCGCGTTTTTGTAGTTTTTCGTATTCAAACAAAAAACGATTATGCAATTGATGAAATACGTAGGTTTATAATGGAGGCAAAATAAAAGGTACAAAACGCCACACTGGTGCAGTTTGTAAGCAAAGAAAGAGCGAGAAATTTTCCGTGAGTTTGTGGTGTTAGCATCAGCCCCTAGAAGTCGTTTTTAAAATTTTTCCACTGTTGCATTCTGAAGGAAGTGATAGACGATGAATAGTTAAATAAACAAAAAGTGCCTTACAGTTGCCCTATTAAGTGAGGCCATGGACTGGGCTATACTGGATGGCTAGGCGTTTCCGTGATGAGTATGGGAGACAAATGTCGCAAAAGTGTTATCTAGCAGTACTACACACATGGACTCCTTGGTGCAGAATGAATCGTTCAGCTCTAGCACCCTTTCGGTGCCTAACTGCCATGCCACCAGAAGGAAGCATGAGGGCTGGATACTTCCAGATTGCCCAAGCCTAGACAGGGGAGGTCGAAAGGCAGAGGTCGGGTTCGAATCACGGACCTTCTGGCCAGTAAATTCGCGCTCTAACCACTTGAGCCACCTCGCCCCCTTGGTGCAGAGAACCAGGGAAATCATGGGAAGGCCGTGACAGGCGTCACATGTTCTGATGCACGGGTACTCAGACTTTTATGATCGCTGGACATCCATTTGTCACCAGGGGAAGATATTTTTCGTCCCCTTACTCCAAAAAATGTGTCCAGTCACCAGACTGGGTGGCCTAACTGATACACGTGTCACAGAAGACCACCATGATAATGTGAATGGGGGCTGACTGAACTATTTCGCAAGGAGTCATGAGTTGTCAGTGATGTGTCACCGATATGCTTACGGCAGTCCTATCGAAAGCGCTCGAAAGGTGCGCAAGTTGGAAATTAACACCTACGTCTACCGACTGGTTGCCGTTTGTTCTGAGCAATAGAAATTTATACGGAGGTTTTTACGCGTCATTGACCTGCTCACCAATGGAGAGTCTGGCGGTTTTTCTAAAGCCGTCCATTGGACCAATCGCGCATGCATGCCACGCTGCGCCAGAACAGGCCATTTTCGTGCCGACGACAATGGGTAGCACGCGTGAACGGAGTACATCTACCGTTGAGTTGTAACATGGTTGATGCCTCGGTCCCCACGATTCATCTTATAGGCTAATGATAGGGTGAGCAGTAGCACTTCTAATTGAATGATATTCGCTTTGCTTGTCGAGTTCGTGGGGATGAATTCTTACACTTAATGGTAGTCCTAGTCTTCAGTCTTCCACTCGACTATCGTGGGGCTGGATGATAATTCAGTCTGTTCGACGTGGTCTCGCGACGTGGACTGTGCCCATTTCTTCGACACCTGTTCAATGTGACAGACCGCAGAAGTGCGTGCGTTTATTCGCCACATAAAGAAAGTGAGAATTACCAGCGGACTTCAGAATATATACCGGTTATCAACAAGAGCAACTAAGACACAGGACAAGTTGTATTTGTGACAAATTTCGTGGCGCTGTTAGGGAGGGCAAAAAACACCCAGCTGCCTTTCAAAACAAAAGCAGATGTGTCAAGTTTACAAGCTTCTGAAACGAGCGCACTCTGCTGCACAACTATGCCTGGCAGGTTGAGATGTTTATTGAAATGTTCATGACTTAACACCTGGGATAATTTACTGTCCCAAATCTGAGTTATAATAATTCTTGTCAGCTGTTTTTAGCTTTTTTTGAATGTGCTTTCTGTGCTTGGGCTTTCTGTGCGACGCTGCGCAGGTATATTTCATTATCTATAGAATGGGGCTTGTTTTATCCAACAGCTGTAGGGGGAGGGCGCTAGCCACAAAGACGGAGAAAACCTCCGCAAATATGTGAGCCCAGCATATTACAGAGTGATGACGTGTATATCGCCTGGTAGACCATATCTAGTCAGTGATTTAGTCAGCGAGCGCGCGAAGTTTTCTGTGATCGAATTATCGTCGGTCAGGGGGGGTGCAATGCATGATTTCTGTAACTGATTAACATTATTATTTAGCACTTGTCTGATTATTTATCGTAGTCTGGAGCTTCACAAACTAAATATATTGTGGGCTTGCAGCGCAACTAATACTTCAACGAAAGAATATTACAGGACTTATTGGATGTCACGAAAGCAATAGGAACCATATTTTTACCGAGCATTTTTGTAAGAAAGTTTTATTATAAATTGCTCATCCGTCAACCATGGAGGTACTCCGCATGGGTCATAGCCTCAATATTACACTGTGCTGCATGCCATTTGTTGAAGATATTTGGTGAAATTTGCCGCTTCAGTAGCCTCATAAAGAGTACGTAGATGATTCCACCCTTAGTTGATCAACAAGTGGGTATACTTTGTTTTTATCGTGGTGTCCATTCTGAAGATACTACATGGGCGTCTCCTAACATAACAACATGCAGATCTGTTAGGCTTCTCGTCCCACTCCGACTAATTATACAGCCTAAAAAGCTTTCACTCTGCTGTAACATTTAATCCGACTGGTTGAAGTCGTAGCATCGACAGAAGCAGAACGCACCATGGGCTAGCACCCACATGAAGTAAGCATTGGAATGATCCAAAATTTGGCCTTTTTGAGTGGGGCAATTTTATGGCTTCAGTTATTCACATACTACGTTGCATTGGTCATACTTTTCGAATGATAGCGATATTTTTCTTGTGTGATATATTGCCTTATTCAATAACCCCACCACGAGAGTTACAAATTAACACCAAGAAAACCTACCAATTTCCAGAACTGAGTGATGTCATCGGCAGACATTCAGGTTCTCACCATCCTCTGGTCACAGCAGAAACCAGAAACCAGAGGGTGAAAATCGAATCTTCCAGATTAGATCTGGAAATAGATAGCATGTCGTCTTTAGGACGCTAAAAATAACAAATAAGGGATGCTTCATTAAACTCGACGGACCCGTACAACGAAATAAATGCATTTCTATCCAGTGGTCTGTCGAGACGCAAAAGCAAGCGAGCGATGTGGCTAAAGCCCATCATTTTCCCTAAGCCTTCATCGTGGTGAGCAGGGATATGTCGTTTCAAATTGTTATCCTTTACCACTGACGTCTCTGATTGCTGGACATTTAGTGCACCCAAGAATCCACAACCCCCCATTTGATCTTCGTCTTGAATTTCAGGACATCGGGAAGTTCATCTTAACGCAGTTTATGTCCGTTCCTTATGAGAGCGCTTAAAACCTGCAAACCATTTTGGTATGATTGAGGAGAAAGAAGTTATCTCATAGTTATTACCATTTCTCATTCTACCAGTGAACCAACTCCTCCAAAAGTGTGTCCCATTGGGTGTTGTTATACACTTTCGGCCCGAAGGAGCCATACATCTTATTTCAGCTCGTTTACTGTTTGCTTGTTATCTGAGAGGTGGAACGCTAGAAAAGGGACCTCTCCTTCTTTTGGGAACGCACCAGCTTTATGTATTTCCCCATACATCTGGGTGCCCGGCCAATAGTTAGTTTAATGTGAAAGCTGGAATTAGTCTTATCGATCCAGATGAAAATTCCCCTTATATGGAAATCTTAGAAATGCCGAGGACAGTCCTTATGTATCTCTTTTATCCACCTGTTGTTTAATCTTTCGGTGACGTGATGGGTGTTATTTCTTTTATCAGTTGGTCGTCCAGATGTCGTCCGATCGTCAAATTTTGAATGGCTTTGCACTTACGGAACTGTAATCGTGCCCGTATTTCACGCAGCGCAAGAGTTGAATATTTAATGATCCATTTCAGAAGTGTCTCTCAAGAGGATATGCTTGCAATATTATTGCCTATATCCTTTTCCCTTTCCCTCTGCTTGAGAAAACGACGAAACTGGGACTAGACTACTTGTTTCATTTGTGATATTCATTTTTGAAATTCCGTCCATATTAAGACTTCCACTCTCTGATGAGATAATCTGTCAAAGACAAGAAAGCATCTTCACGACACTTCAGTCAAAGGTATCGGTTCGGCTGCCATTTTGTTCGGTGTCAGTCCACTGATCACAGGCTGATCGTGACCAAGTGTTTTGGATATGATATGGCATACCAGCTCGCCGTATTGCAGCTGTCTACTGCCCGTAACCGGTGTCGATCGACCGATGGATTTATTAGGCTACGCTTCAATTTAGCCTAGCCAAAGCATCAAAAATCAGCATGCGGTCGTTGGGAAACAGATTCTCTAAAACCAATCCACCAATTCCAACTCACAAATTCTATGGTCTAAATTGAACAACCCAAGCAGAAGTTAGCCATTTGGTCTATCATCTTGCGTGCTAGGATACCATGCAGTATACACCTTGGTTTGACGATACTAGGATGGCGGAAATGGAAGTTAAGTGCTACCTATGGATGGCTTCTTTCAAGAGTGTTTGCTCTCGTTAAAAGTTTGTAGGAAAAATTATCCTGACCGCAACTACCTCCAAGGCGCAGGAAATTCACTCTTGCGGTACTCATATCTGGTTCACGGCTAGCGTAATCCTTTCTGGATTTCTTAAGCTGTTTGTTTGGAAACTCGTCCGCATATGATGAGGTTATCAGTACGTCCTTGCCTACCATGAGGTTTTTTTATGAAGAGGCGGAAACAGATATTTTAGATTGAGATCATGCCAGTTACATTATGGATAATTTACACTTTTACTAAAAGCTTTGTAAGCTTAACGCGTCAAAATCTTCTGTAGCGAAGTTATATCGTACCTCGATAACGCTACACGCTGATGCACAAGTGAGATTGTAGAGGTCAGTCGCTACATCACGCATCACAATCACCCAAATCACGTAACACTTCCTTTCAAACTTGCGACCCTAGCTGACAACATGTGCACTACAATTTCCCATCAATTTTTGTTCACGCGGCTACCGCATGCGTCACGCCCCAGGCTTACGAATTTCAACCACATCAGGCCAAGTTGTGTTCCTGTTCGTGCAATTATCAAACACGAATGGACACCACTCTCTATACACTGCACACAATAAATAGGGACGAAAATCGGCCAACCACACACTCGTGCGCACAGTACACGATGTCAACCGAGCTCCACAAGTCTCCACTGACAACTAAGGAACACGTATATCAGCTTGTAGAGAAGACACATCCTGCATCCGGAACTTCACCCAGGAACTCTTGACACTTGTCCTCAAACGATGAGTCAGAGCATAAACGTTAGCGTTAGCCTCAGCACCCACAATAGATCTCCGACTTATGGCTAAACTACAGAAAGACGAGCCTATCACTTCGGCACCAAGCGACTAAAAATCTTTATTACACATTAGACAGGTGCCACTACAAATTGCACCAGACACACTAGACCGCGATTTATCTACGCCATACCCAAGACCATTTGTCCCGCTGTCGATGTGAATCCAAGTTTTTGATGCCTCACATAACGTCCCACATCCCGGTATACGTTCGACTGTTAAACTTGTTCCACAGCGTTTTGTATGGCCGAATATAAACAAAGACGTGCGTTTATGGACAAAACTTGCCTAGGATGATCACGTTTCAAAATTATCCGGTATACTCGCCCAACCATTGGCACTTTCTCCCAACCAGACTCCCCATTCGACCATGTTCACCTAGATATAGACAGCCCGATATCGAAAGATTCTTCCTATCTTCTCACATGTGTCTCTATCGAGACTATCGCACGAGCATTCATAAATGGCTGGAATACCGATCTCATGGTTCCTACATTTACAACCACCGACCGTGGTTTCCAATTCGGTTAGACTACCATTAGATCATTAACAAGATTACTTCGACGAAGGATGACACGTTCGAAGGAAAACGACCGGCCGTGTTTGGGTAGGTTTACCGGTGACGGCCGTTTCAGCGTGCCAGGAAATCGTATTGGAAGTCACTGCTGTAAACCAGACAATTTTTGAGTTTGATTCTCGGTTCAGTTCACCACCATAAATAACGAGTTTGTGATTTGAGCAGTGAAATCTTCCTATGTCCTCAAAGAACTGCTCGGCGCACATGCCCACGAATACCTAACTAAATCCAAAGCTTCAGACTTTCGGTCTACAGTTACCGCTTATATCGTTAAGCTCACTGAGATCCCTTTTATATCCAAACACCTAGAATGGAGTGATACAGAGTGTTAGTGAAAAAAACTGATCATACGTAGCACAAAAAGACTATAGATAAACGAACACAGTAAATAAACATGAAGATTGATGACTTTGTTTTGGCGCGTTTTCAAAAGAACGACAAATCTGATGAATAGATGGAACCCGGGATATATGTTTCTAACCTACTCATTCAATAGACTTATGCACTTTTGCACCATTATCACGTTATAACATTGTACTGCAAAGTGCGCAAAGTGAGCCGCATGCACACAAACTGCGCTAAAGAGGAAATTCAGTTATGATGTGCACTTCAAAGCAACGACAATGTACGGCTTTCCCTGAATACCACTCCAACTGAATGCAAGTTTGTCGTATAGCAAAGAGGCGAATAGCCGCAGCGTCGTATCAGATATTGAGCCGATAGGTAAAGGGTCGTCTAAAATAGAGAAACACTGGTGCAATTTCTCCCCAGGAAATATAACCGGCGCATCTTGATTGAATCTTAACCACACTGTGTGTCTTCGATAATTTCATCGGAAATACTTATTCTGAATCACTTGTTCATGACGCAACTTTTTAGAGCCAACACAATATTTCTCCACATCTGCCTTCACAGTGCCACAATGCAATTTTCCTTTTTATATGAATGGGAAAAGGTACACAATGTGCACGGAAGATTCACGTTGTTCGGCTCATCGCATATATGCAGGAAAACTCATTCCGTGTAAGACTGCAGGTGAGTGGAAATTTCCTGGACTATTCATTCTTCGTTTTGTGGTCAATGGTGCTTCCAACACTCGCAATATAGCCTTAATTATGATAAATGAGAGGCATATAGACTTAAAGTTTCATTGCTAGGAAAGTTCACAATTTCTTGACGCAATAATTATCAACCTGATGAAGATTGTTGGTTAGTCTAATGCCGACTTCGCCATTATTAATTCCGGGTTTCCATCAACATCATTTAAGGTATCATCATTGGTTGTCCTATTGACCACTTCTGGCTCAGCCAGGTTCAAACGCTGTCTGGTGGCTAAATCACCATCGCTTGAATGCTCTTCTACGTTGTGAATGAGTGCCTTAAAGGTTTCAAAATGAAAACAGTATTCTAAAAGTTAGTCTGTTGTAGCCATTAGATCGAAAACCTTCGCGGCCCAACAGGTTACCGTTTGACAGCATTCCTGTGCACGCATGGCCGATGCTTACTCGGGTTACTCTAACGACAGGAAGATGTGCCTCAAGTCATGTGGACGAGGGATATATTTTTCCTCTCATTTTCTCTACTTAGACCAACTGAGTAACAGGCATTGATCGACTTCTAGTGACAACATTTTTCAATTTATCTCGAAATTGTTTTGGCGGAGACCCTACTTAAGGCCACAAGGCAAACTTTGTTGATGCTGCTGCTGCAATCTCACGCACGAGTGCAAATCAAATGATGGTGGCTAGCTGGTGCATCCTTACAGTTCGTGGTTTAGCTAATCAAGCACAAAAGATGCAGGCTAGGTATGGTTTGTAATTTCATTGTGGATACGGTAAAAATGTATCATGGAATCCACCTAGACAGAAGTTTGCGTAAAACTGTATTGCACCAGCCAAGAATCCAAATGTTGAGAAAATATTTTGCACCACACGGAAGAGTGTTCAAGCTCACTGCCTTTACATGCATTCTCAAGTAGTTTTCGAGCAACTCATGTTCCAGGAAATGTCGGTACAAAGGAAACTGAGCCCATCTTCTGCATACAAAGGACATCAGACTACTCGCAAGGTTCGAGTGAAATTCACGTTCTGGCTAAACCGACAACGTTTGCCAGCGCAATAAGGGGATAAGGATAGTCGTAGTGTGTTCTGGTCAATGGCCGTTCGGAATGCTTGAAATATCTTCCAGTTTCAAGCCCCAAGAAAAGTGCTTGTGAAAATCACGAAGAACAAACAACAAGGGATATGTACAATAACAAGGTAGCGCCGCACCTCTTTCGGGATGTTGTATGCGTACACCTCACTCAGTACTACTACTCACTATCCTTGGTCAAAAAGATATGTGAAGTATTTTTGCGTGCAACCTCACTAACTGGATTATCAACAAGAATCGGAGCGAATCCTCTCACTTTATATTTCTTGAAGATCTCTAAAACAAGATGATCCGAAGATAGACCATCTCCTAGAAGAGTTCTATTTATCCCCGTTTTCTAGAAATAAAGCCGATAGAATAGACTTGACACTCTCACTATAATCATCCTTTTGGTGCGAGGTTACTAACATTATCAACGGACTAAAACTAACGTTTGGAATACCTATTTTCAACTTATTTTTCGGCCAGGTAACCAACTTTTAACGCAGCGTGTCTTATTTTGTGATTGTTTGCGGTCTACAAGACAGGTTTATCAAATGTATGCGATTTAATTTGGACCGTTTCGCGCAATTTGTGCGTCTTCTCGGATTAGGCGTGCTTCAGATTTTGGTGCTTGTCAAATGTGATCTTCAGACCGGGGTACGGGCTTATTGGAATGCCAGTAATCGTATCAGGACTGGAATTCCGCTTTGTAGAAGAGAAAAATATTGTTCGATGTGATCATCACCTGCCATCATCACAACCCACAGGTGTATCAGTGTTAGAACATTAAGAATTAAGTGCACGTCATTTGGTCCACTGGTGGAAGCTCACTCTAGCGGCTTCTGAGGCAAAAAAGACCCATCACAACCGAAGGGTAGACATCCTTACTGACTAATACATCATATGTGCTGCTGGCATTGTTACAAGAGTGCTTTTGTATCCAAAGTGGACATCATCGCTGCCGCTGGCAAGCTCAGCAGTGTATCGATATAAGGCATGACATTCCACTGGTTAGGATCTCCTTGGTCGAACTTAAGTTCGAATTTACGGACCTTCCAGTTGGTAGGTTTGCAACTTAACTACGGATTTACTAAACACTCCAGCTGATGTTTCAGTCCAACACATTCTTGTCCACCTCTTGTTTTTAACCATTGGTTTCAAAACATTTACCGATGCTCTGACAAGTTAGACGTTTTAACCTTAGTGAAACTTTACTAAGTAATTTTGTCCCATCAAATACCAAATTTCCCTCCTGATTCTCCGAGAACCTTCCACATTACCACTGTGCATGTGCGTATGCTGTCATAAGGTCATCATGAACATTTTTCTTTCCAGTGGCGTTACCACTCCTGCAGAAGGTATTAGTCCGCCATCGATCGATACATGTGGTCTTATGCGTCCCAAACGATGCCACCATGAACAGCGAGGAGATCTTAAGAAACATTCGCGTGAAGCGGGAGCCGTGGCTGCGACAGAAGCATCCAGGTTTAATTGAGGTAAGCTATTCCGGGACTTACCTTCCGTGTTGATCGAAACGCATACATAAGCTTTGGAATACGTGGCACGTAAGACAAAGAAATTCAAATCGCCATCCAGCTTTTTACAGTAAAGTTGTCTCCGCTGTATTTCAAATTTTGATTCATATCCGAAAGAACTTCCAGGAAACAAACATAGTTGACATAGGACAAAACTGCCCAGCGCTCCGTCTGCTACAGTTCTTGGCAGCAAGAATAGTTAATCTAGCACTCGTGTAACTTTATGAGTTAGACTGTCTCAGGAACTGCTTTTTTGGGGGAAGGAGCAGCCGTCCCATAAAATTCAGGTAAAACAAATAGGGTTTAAATAAGGGTCAGACCACTGCTAAAACCAGTTTTTGCCTATCATCGTTCGAATCACCATTACTGAGTGCAACACCGGATGACAACATGGGTGCTTTGCTGCACTACAACCGTATCGTTTTATATGAATAACGTCTTATAGTAGAAAGAATAAAAATGGGGCAGGAAGAGCGATATAAGCCCAGCCTACACATCCAATAACCCGTCTGACAATCTGGATGGAAGGTGACTGAATGAACAACGCTGACATTGATAGTCACCATATCCTTCAGTGTTTCTATCAAAGCACAGAAAATTTCATGTGGATCCCATTACTGAAGGACATTAGCACCACCGGGAAGAAAACTTTTCGTAACATTACTATCTTTTGCCATGTCAAGTTCGCTTCACCTTCAGGTTTTCGCCATTCAAAAATAGCCACGGACAACAAAGCGGTTCTCGAAAGGCGGCGTAAGTACCACGTAACCCAGCCAACTCAAGTTTGAGGAGGGTTCGTTTTGAAGCACAATTTTGCACTATGTGGGCGCGAAGCATCTGTCAAATGACTGGATAATCTTGATTGGCTTTTTTAGTGCTGTACATCCTGTACAGCATGTACAGCCGTAACTCGTCTCCGTACTTCACCATTGACGGGATTGTGCAAAATGAGACAGAGCAGGCTTTCTTGTGGGATACCACTGGGTCTAGGGGAGCTTTTGGAGATCTTCCTGTGCCCACAAGTACCCAAATACAAAGAGTGTATGATACTCATGAAGCTGTAGGACATACCTTATTGTGCAAGCAAAATGAGAAGAACCAACCGATTTACAGGATCGAAAACACCCTTGAAATCAAGGAACACCAAGATTTTAAGAGTCAATCTACATCCTGTTGGTATAACACTTGACGGAGCGCCAAGCTCTTGCCCACACAGCATTCGCTGGTTGGAATCCTGCTTCTTAGGTCCTGTTCTCACGTCCCGTCTTCACTTGCCTTCGATGTGACGTAACCGATGGGGATCAAGATGATGCGCGACGTGATTGTTGCACTCAGTGCCAGCATCCGTATTGCAGGCTGGCACCAATATCAACTCATTCCAATTGGCTACGATGGTCTTTTTCGTCAAAACAGACGCAAATCAGTTAAACAGGCATCGTCTGAGAATTTCATTCCCAACTATAGACATATTAAGGGACTTTGTCAAGAAAAGCAAATATAATACCCTTGATGGACAAACTACTTTAGGTTATTTTTAAAGTTGTCCTGGTTTCCATGATAAACCAATAAATCAGAAATAATTCTATCCAATTAGTTTTCGACAGACTGTTCATGTAGCTGAAATATTGGTGTATTTATGACCATTTTCAAATTAATCTTATTCGAGAGAGCACAAGACTTTATAATTTTATGGAGTTAGAGGTGCATTTAGATCCAGAAGAGGAAAACAAGTTTACCAAACTTAATTTTTCTGCTTTAAATTAAAGCAGGCGAATGTCTTGCCATCTGACTGCATTCGCGAGATCTTTCTATAGACTTAAGTAGACAAAAGGATAACCTAGTGCGCTGACGTTTGGATGATCACTGACGAGCTCCTTAGAGCTAACCATTACCCCTCTACCTGTACTTTTAAATAGTTTTCGTTATTAGTTCAACACAGCATGATCTGCAACCATTTTTTCCCGTAATTCCATTTGAAATCAAGGGATATTTGACGGATCTAAGCCGTAATTCTACTCACTAATTTTGACAAGTCGTCCTTTTAGTATTGAAAGGTGCACAATAACCCGCTATGACAATGCAAACAGGTCGATAAGCATTGCTCTCGCTTCTAGCAAAACTGGTGTGGAATAATTTTGCTTAGTTTAAATTATAGGTATTTGATGCGCCTGAATCGGATTTCTACGAAGTTGAATGTTACCACTTACAAAACCGCAAACAAAGAACCATCATAAAAGTGTTCCGAGGTGAGTTCTAAACCAGCCGTTCTTCAGCCTTATACCTATGCTGGGTCATTTTCCAACTCTTCTAGACGGCTGTCTTTTTGTTTTTTCGCTGGGTGGCTCAGACAAATAATGCAAAATATAGTTGTCGCATTATTATTATCATTATTATTATTATTATTATTATTATTATTATTATTATTATCACCCCCAGTGAGTGTTTTGTTGGACTTTCCACATTTAATCCCGGTACAGATATAGCAGCCTTCTGTGCAGCTAGAGGCGAGAGACTGGTTTTCTGATGAATGGTATACGATGAACCTTTGTCTGGCAACAGTCACTCACGTGAACAAACGTGAAAACCTTCGGGCAGCGAAACCAGTTAACAACTATAAATCCAGGTTTGATCAGTCACCTTAACATGAATGGACTAGCACGAGAACTTCAGGGTAATGGCAAGTCATCACAGCCCTGTATTTGTTGTAATGTCTTCGGGGAGATACACTTTCGTTGTTGAACAGTGTTGAACAGTGTTGCCTTCTCTCAACTTAATGTCTATTGATGAGGCTTATATGCAACAACCCTAGTTGAAACGATTTCGATATCATGTTATGCCTATCTGCTTGTGCAGATATGTCTTAAAGGTGGCCTTCTTATTTACAAGTTTTTTCTAAAAACAGCTTTTTTTGGCTTGTGCACCATTGGGTTTGCAAAGACTAAGTGTTGCTAGCAGAAATATCGTCCTGAACGGCCGTCAATCACTTTTTCTTTCGTGCTCGCATACGAAAGTTCTGTTTATGATTGGTGATGGAAACTGCTTAACAACCTATCCAAAATACCTTGACTTTTGCTTCCTAATACTTTGAAAATAGCGCGCGTTTAGTTCTCTTTGCTTATTTTGGTCCCTTATGATCTCTGTAAAGGTTCTACGATAGCAAAATTTATGAAAAACTTACCGCTAGTGTGCCAAATGTTATGAGTCCACTAAGGCTGTAATTGACAGCTTACGTGGAGAAGCAAGGTCACAGGTGGTGGTTAGTCTACCCTGTTCCCGCATTAACGACCTACATTTTGAAAAAAACGTTTTCTATCGAATGATACCGCTATGATGAAAGATCTCTTTTCCGTCAACAAAGCAGATTCATTCTCTGTGCTTTATCGAGGGAGGCTGTCTGAAGAAAGAGTCGCGTGCCATAGAACTCACACTTGTTGTTATATGCACCAACCTGCAAGCGATATGCTAATTACGTTCGGTAGTCAGCACCATGTTTATAGTTATGATCTCTAAATCAGCGGTAGCGAGTGAAAACAGCACAATCATGTGCATTTATTTCCCTGGATGTTGTGTCAGAAAGTGGGACTCAAACACACGAATGGATAGATTCTGTCCTATGTTGTGGTATAATATGTCCGCACCCTTTAGATCGTTTGTGTCCTGTGCAGTCCATTTCAGCTTTTTCATTACTTAATCCATGTTGGTTACTTTTTGGCTTTGTGTTAAGCAATAACAAATGTTGGTCCACACTTTATTCAGCTGAAGACTCCAAGGCACCAGAAAATGTCACGGTGGAAGAACGGAGGATGTACACAGGCGATAAATTAGTGTGTGGAAAATTAGTTTCAGCACTAGGAGTTATTGGTGTGTCGGAAGAGCTCAGCGAATTGTTCGTGTACCATGGTGAACAAGATATTTATCAGACATTCGATCAGCGCTATCCTCATACATGGACTGTTCAGAAATTTGGTGCCGGGGGAAAGTGGATGATTGGATGCTTTATTATGGGCGAATTACACAAACTCTTTGACGTCACTGTGATAGGTAAGTAGCTACAAGTTGTGCCTAATCACTGGATTGGTCAAACATGGTTTACAAAGGCTCACAAGAACAACACTGCAAAATTTCAAATGAATTACACAATCTGAACTTTTATTCACACTGTATTCAAATAGCTCTTTCCAGCTCGTATATACGGTAATCTTCGTTGCAAGTGATTTACACTAAACGGTTCCAATTTTCCTTCAGGTGTCTTATCATCCTTTAAATGAGTCCTTTATGCAGACCGTACGAGAAAACAGTTATGTTTCACCTTCAGATCAAGGAATATTATAGAGAAACACGAAAAGTAACAGCACAATATTATGTGGCCCCTATTCAAAATGGTTCTTTAATGGTGCTTATTAACCAGAAAAAACTGCATCTTCCATGAAGGTCATTCTCCTATTAAGCGACTAAACCGTTCATTAACTTGTCACTAGTTGCTCGGCCTAAAGGGCGTTTGAGTCAAAACATGCAATAAATTCAATGAAAGTTACTTTATCCAAATAAAAACGATGCGAACATTTCAGTTTAATCAAACGCACAATTAGTTTTATCAATTAACTGCTTGATACCTAACAGCTGGTGTAACCCTCTGTGGTTTCCCATGCGTTTGTGCGCCTTTATAAACCCCGACTGTTGAGTCGAACTTCACCGTATGACAACCCCCCCCCATTCATTTGCTTACTCCACCTATGTACTTTTGATCTTCAGTTGTTTTGATTATCCGTACCAGCCACTCAGCTCGCCGCAGAGGCCGTCCTGTCCGACACCTGTGTATTGACATGTGTGTCTGTGTGTGAATGTGCGCTACGGACCCACTTACCCACGCGCGCTCATGTCCCGTTTGCTGCGCCTGTCTTGACTTGTTTTCTCATGAGCCCCGTGTGATCGCACGTCCAATGAGAATCACGAACCTGTCGGCCGAAGGGCGATCGCAACCCACGCTACTGAGCCGTCATTCCGCTCGCCGTTGTTTGATGTGCGGCGTTGACACTGCACTGTGCCGGTCAGTGACAGACCTGTAAGCCTGTTGACGTTACGAACGTGAACAACTGAGGTTTGTTGCACACATTTCCTTACCCTTGTGTAAATAGTACCGTAAAATTACGAACCCAGTTCTTCCTTTTGATATTCGGGATTCTCGAACCTACGCGTCACACAAAGTTCCGTATCGGGAACCTCAACACCAACCAAGGGAGTCCTGTAAGCTTAGGTTCCTCCACTTGAGGATAAGTCTTTTAGATGTCATGACAAGGAAGATGCAAATAACTCGTTCAATAACTTACGCTGCCACGTCGTTCGGTGGGCTGATTTTTAAGAACAATAATCCCTCTTGGCCGTTTCAACTGATCGCCTGGAGTACAAACGTCCGAGGCTATGTGTGCAAACTGGATGTTTGAGAACCCATTGGCAGTAATCTATCATGTGATAAACAGAACGAACCCAAGGATGCCGCAAGCCTACTCAACAACACTGACTTTTTTAAGCCTGGGATGTCCTCGCTTTGGCTAAAGCTTGCTTGTGACTAGCAGCATCTTCCACAGGTAATTTTACTATGTCTTCATTAGTTTTCTAAAAATGCATTCGAAAATAAACCAATCATTAACACCCTGTTGGGGCAAGATATATGAATAGTGCCAGGCAAGTCCCTGGACTGTGATGCAAGATTTAAAGAGGCCTAGTACCTCCTACTTGAAAACTCAGTATATTCTGTCATACGTCGCAACTTCATAAGGACGGAAACCCTACATTTAGCTAAAAGTTGCTCGATCAAATTTGGTTGTATGACTTTTTGCAGAAATTTAAGCTTAAAATTTGGTAATTAGCCGAAATTTTGGCCCCTGGAGCATGATCGTTTATGTGGGACACGCACCAGCGATTATATTTTTATTTAGAACTTCATCCGTCACAATACTGTGTTGGATCCTTGGGAGTAATTTAACACCTTTTGGCCTTGTATTTCACAACCATTAACGAAATCACGTCGGCTTTTAGCAAACGTTGTCCCAAACCAGTATCCTATAATTGTTTTCGCTTACTGAAAACTGGCCTCCCATCTTATGCTCTCGGGTTCCGGTATGTTCTAGTGAGCTCAGCCTCAGAGCGGTATGTTTTCACGACTACAATGAATTGGAAGTGTCGAGTATACTCATTTGCAAACTAAGTTGGTTTTTCGAGAGACTCATCAGGAACCCAGCTAAATCTCTCGGTCTTGATGTTTCCAATATAGCGATATCTCGAATATCGTACCGACTGAAACATAAGGCGGCACATAAGGTGCAGCACATTCAGTTGCCTGGAAACATCACACACGAGAGGTTCAGCTGGGCTCCAGGTGAGTCTCTCGAAAAACCAAATTAGTTTGCAAATGAGTGCGTTTCGCTGATTTCGTGCAATTTGGTTTCAAGTAGAACATAAGGTTGCAGGAAACTCGGGGATTGCGCCTAGCTGATGAGTCCCAAGAAGGGCGAAACCGGTCATGGGCTGTCGAGGAGTTTTCAGCAACATTATGAGTAGTGCATTACAAAAATATGTTGAGTATACTTCTACCGCGGCGTTGCCAGTCCTCAACGTTTCCTTATATTAGGTGCAGCTATTTCACTCCCCCGTCTTTCTCATTATGCCTCTATAATTGGTAACTGGTCAGGAATTGCACATGTACCAGTTCCTTGGTGAATCTGCCGGGGGAAATTTTAGCCGTGGGATAAAGAGCTATCATCACTGGCTGCACCAGAAGGACAGGCACATTGTGCCAGTCAGGCCGTATCCTTGATGGCTGAAGGTGATTATTATTCATGTGGTTGGCTTCGTTGAATAATCGGAAGTGTGCATTCGCAATGATTCATGGGAAAAGCAGAACGTGATCCTTGACTACCGACAGCAGCTCCAAACCTTAGGTTCACCTGTTGTCTTTTCTCTGATAAAGGAGTAAATATAAATTTAAAAAAAATTTGCTTCCTTTGCGATGATCCATGTTTTGCAAACTTAAATGTAAGGGAAGAAGTATTCTAGTGCGTTTCTTTATCATTAAGTGATATCTGTTCCAAAAAGTCCAAATTATCAGTCGTTTCAATATGAAAAATGCTGCTTACATGAGTATTTCTTATTAGATTGAGAACTGGATCATTTTCAGGTCGTGTGTTATTTTAGTAAATAACCTAATCAAAAGCTTCTATTCTGATGTTAAATCTATGGACACAAAAATTACATTTTCACTAGATACCAATCGCTAAATCTAATCAGAACCATTATTTGACTTCATCGTAATTTTTTCAATTCATTCAGATTGGTTAACCATCCCAATTACGCTACCTTACTTAAACCTAGTTAGCTACAGACAGTGCTATTCCAATACTTTTGACCGACGACGAACTCTTCATTAAAAAATCTTGTTAATCCATCCTTTAGTAGCTACAGTTTGATAGGAGTTCCATTTTTCCAGCTATTTTTGCCCGCGTTTTAGAGATGCGAAAATGGAGAATATTCTGGGGATACGAGCTAGTGTTCTAAAATTTGTTTCTAAATGCCACGCATATTAGAAACATGACTCAAGCCCCAAGCAAACTGGTTTGCTTGCAACTTGAAAGACCCAGAGAAAGGCTTTTACGCCGCGATCGTTTGTGACTAGTGAACTTATAACTCCGGACCACCGGATAGTACGTTTGGTCTTGCTGGCGGTCTCCTGAAAGGCACAAACCCAATCTCACCGAGCTGGAGTCATGAAGTTTTAATCCAATTTAGGTTCTTCGTTTACCAGATCCCATTTCAGAGACTGCTTCGTCCATGAAGGCAAAGGTTCGTCTTCATTAGCATTTCATTGGATAAAAATGATCATGAAACAGAAAATGAGGTTCAAAGTGTAGATGGTAGAGCCTCACAATCTGTATAATTGGAGAAAAGTCATCTAATGAGAGCCACATGCGCCTGTTGTACTCAATGAACACCAAAGTATTGATGTTTTGACTTTGGCACACTAGTCTTACTCTTCAAAACTAATTTCACAGTGACATTCTTTTTGTGCCAATGATGAGGAAATATTGCACACTAAATTTGTTCCCCTTTTAATTGCTTTTGTCGGTTGAGACACTATCGAAGGTAATCGCTTGCTCGTTTTGTTCCATAATGAAACTGAATCTTTATGTATAGCGGTCTTCCAAATTAGCGACCAACCGTAGGACCTTGTCAAGATGATGCCTTCTTAATGAGAACTGGATCCACGTTTATAGGTGACACTCAAGTTCTAGTTCATACGCACTCACTTATGGTAGGTGTTCTCTATACGTCATTTATATTCTTATGAAGAAAACCACCCAAAAGGCTGTTGAAAACCATTCGACAGCCCACTCCCAGTCTCGCCTTTCTTGGGGCTCATTAGGTAGGCGCAGTCACCGAGTCTTCGTCAAACTTATGTTTTACCAGATATACTGGCACACAGATTTATTCAAGAGGTTTTCGGCCACATTCAGCAGCATTCCATGTAAATATACCACAATATCCCGAATATTTACCTACCTAAACAGAAAGTATTTGTTTAAAGAATGTCGTGGAGATTCAGTTGTGATTCATTTGAGCCTTATGTGTAAAACAAAATGGTTTTCAAGTAAGTTTTTATGGTGCAACATACTTATATATATGTATATCATTACTATGTATGTATGCATGCCTGCTGCATTTTCATGTATTTGATCCTTTTAGAACACCATACACTGAGCAATAAATGACGAATAATACTTAATTAATAAGCACCGAGCTTGTTCGCGATTTTTCTTGTGCTTTTAAAGCCGGTATGCTGTCACGTCCCATTCACTGGATCTGACTGACTGGTCGTCCCTCAATTATCTATTTTGGGGCAGTCAACACTAATTAACAACTAATCAGAATTAAGACAGTGATAAACTTTTGCTTTCATGAAATAAAAAGCTACCCACCATCACGGCAAGAGGTCGAAATGCACAAGCGATGCTCCAAGCTGAAGGAAGCATGCTTCAATTGTGAGCATCCTGCTCGTCTTATTCTTAGATTACCAGAATAAAGGAGCTGTATTTACCTTAATTACTCAGTCTTCTTACTAACAGGCCAGAAATCGTACCTATTAATCCATACGGGAGCACGATTCAGAAGGCTTTGTCTTCAATAAGTCTTTATGGAAAGTGAGAAATTGCGTGATCTAATGGGGCTTGAAGTGGTATACTGGGGCAAATTCCTCTAGGTCTACAGTTCATTGGTGCGTTAGGTGAGACACAAGTGATCTGGGGTATGCTTTCAGGAAACAGCAAGTAGGGGTGTTTGGGGCTTGATCCATTTCCGATTACATACTAATCACTACATTTGCAAAGGTAAATAGATTTATGGTAGCCTAACAGCGTCTCGTGGCATCCTTTTGACTGAACCAAACGCATTTCATTTTTGAATGATATGGACATTTTAATTATACGAAAACCTGATCTATTGGGCCGTATTACTGGCCGCACAACTGAGCATTCTGAAGTGTTTATGGCGTTTCTCAGAAAAATAACACTAACCACCGTCAAGTTCACGCCTTTTAAAATGTCCCATGAATTGATATATTGCATGGAATCCCTTGTACAGAAAACTCTGTCGTCAAGCTCGATATGCAGTGTCAGATATGCGCACCAGAAATAACCACTGTATCGAAACTTTCTTTTCGTAAAACCTGGTTCATTCTAATCAAACAAAAATTGATTACCATGCTTACTACTGTTCACACTTCCTGGATTTCCAAAAAAATGTTTCCTTTGGGAGTTGGACATTTCGCCCACCATTGTTAAGTTACTAACTTTCGTGGCGTCCCCTCTGAGAATTGGTCTCCTTTTCGAGAGGAACAAACTAGAGGGAACCACTCCACATTTATTTGTGTATTGTTGTATTTACGACCTCATACTAAGCAGCGAATCCTAGTCAGCACAAAATGTTGCGTTACTGCAGTCATCCGCACATAAGGATGAACTAACGCTACATCCCCCAACATACCTGCTTCAGGCTTTCCATCTATGCCCATTATGACACCATGGAAACCAACTCGGATTACTCCAGGCCTGAAGATGCATTTCAAATGTGAAGTCAAGAACCAACCGTATGTCACTTCGGTCAAAATCAGTATCAAACGAATTTCTGGTCCCGAAATATTCAACGTCAATGGTAACCAAATGACTCTACGAGATGATGTTACTGTCAACACGGATCAAGATGATTCGGTTTATCGTTGCATCGCTGATAGCGGGAAAATTGTACTTTTCGAGGAATTCGAAGTGAAGGTGGTTGACCGTGAGTTTATTAATGATTCATCTGAAAATTGCGACGGAATCATTTACCGGTCAACCAAATCTCAACACCTCTACCGTGTTCAGCTCTGGTTTTGAGACACTAAATTCATCTGGTCAAGCCATGTTGATATAGCTGTTCCAAATTGCCCATTGTGTTTTTATTGTAAGCGTAGAATTATTCCTTAGGTTTCCTAAGGTGTTTTCAGTATGCAAAATTAAATTCCCAAGCCATTGTGTCACGGCATTTGAATATATGACCGTGACTTCTGGCCTAGCAAATTGTTGGCCTCATCATACAGTCTGCTTTCTACCGAAAAATCCACACGAAGGACCGGGCGATTATTGCGTGTTGGTCCTGGAAATCAACCGGATTCCATCAGAAGATTTATGTCAGGATATTGCAAGCTGACTTTGTTTCCCACTCACCAGACGAGGATATCTCATGTGGCCGGATCTTAGGTATTTGGTCAGGTATTCATGAAGACTAATTTGTTTTCGATATTTCGCCTAAATTCAAAGACCAAAACGCTGCGATCGAATTTAAGACGCTTTAGCAAGTAGAAAAATTGGGAACCGAGATCGCATTGGTTTGAGTTTTTAGTCACTGCGCATGACATATGCTTTTGTTTATGTTTTTTACTTTTCAATCAAGGTGTAATGCAGTGCTATCGACCCACATCGTTTGCCTTCTCACATCTAGAGCAATAGGCAAACAACGGCTTACTGCGGGGCCAGGTATCTGGTTGAGGCCACTGGTGAAAGGAAGAAAGCCCTTAAATTCGAAGTCATTTATTAGCAAACACAAGCAAAGTGGTTGAAAGGCACTAGACGCGAAAGTAAATGTCATCTCTACCGAGTTTTTGAAAATTGAAGATTCCCAAGCGTCCCATTCAACTTTATTGGACGTGCCTTAACTATTAAACACCTGTGAACGAACACACCACAGCGATCTCATAGTTGCCACGGTAACATTCACCTTAAACACCATCTTCGCGTCCTGAGCGGCAGTAACCGTCGGAGCCATGGCACACTAGAGCAACGCGAACAATAGACTATTTGCATGTATCACCAGCGCTGTTACACCGGTCTACCTCTCATTGTATTCTACTGTACCATCGCGTACGCGCTGGGCGCGCTGAAACGACACGAAACTTGTGGGCATATACACCATGAATGGACACTTTTTACTCGAGTAAACAAGAACAGGCACTAAACGTTCTGCGCATAAGATGATCTGAAACTCACTTTTAGCACTAAGCCGATAGATTCGAAGGGGCGGAAATGAAGTGAACTTTTCACCGTCCAACCATAGGAGATGTATGCAGTTCCTGTTCAGCTGTAGTTTTGTTGCTTATTAAGCAATGAAAACAGTGTCAGTAAAACAAAACTGCCAACCCCATGGTTAATCTGGCATGATGTTCGAGGTACCCTAATATATTTATTTGGATGAAATGAATGATTTTGAAAACTAGTGAATATACACTCATTTGCAAACTAATTTGGTTCTTTCGAGAGACTCACCTGGAACCCAGCTGAATCAGCTGATTCAGCTGGGTTCCAGGTGAGTCTCTCGAAAGAACCAAGTTAGCTTGCAAATGAGTGTATATTCGCTAATTTCGTTCAATTTGGTTTCAAGGTTGACGGAAACCCGGGTACTGCGCCTACCTGATGAGCCCCAAGAAGGGCGAAACCGGTCGTGGGCTGTCGATGGATTTTCAGCAACCTTATCAGTAGTACATTACAAAGATTTTGAAAACTCTTTGTGTTAAGTGAAACGTGAGACGGTTTTTGTGAACCCCATGCGGTTGAATATCCTAAACGAGTGATTCGGCTGAATCTCTTGTTAGCGCCAGAATGATTTGCAACTAAGTGTATTTCACCGGTTGCATACTACTTGGTATTTACGTACAACTCGGAGGCTTAGCCCACCTAGTCATCTCTGGGAAGGGCGAAATCGGTTGCGAGTTGTTGAGGCGGTTACAGTGAACTCATGGCTAGTGTCTTTTGCCGGGAATTTTGCGTGTACTTCTGTAATTCTGACTGTAAATTTTACAACAAAATGTTCCACCCTTTCTCGGAATCTTAACTCTCGTCATGTTACTCCCAGTTCCGGGCAAATAATCATTATTTGATGACTTTGTGTTAGCTGTAAACTTTGTTCGAACAGTTGGTATAGGTCATATCCCACAAGCTGTGTGACGAAACAGGATTAGAAACTAAGTGAATGGTGGTCTGAGATGGTGTTCTCTATTCATCTCGCAACGTAACAACAGTTTTATTGCTTAGTAATCGACCAGTTACTAGCACAATCTCTTTTGCAAACCGCGTTGAACACAACTGTTTTACAACCAAAAGATTGCAGGTTTCCCTACGGAATATGAGTCAGTGATCCAGTGAAAATGAGAGCGCGGAACTTTACCATAGGCTTGGTACATCTTTTCTAAGACGAATTACGTTACAAAATTTTCTACTCTTTGTGTTTCCACAGGTGATATTTTGCAACCTGTCATCAAGCCAGACGTGTCCTGGTTGGCAGCCTCTCAGGAAAACTTCACATTCAACTGTACCCTTGACAACAACGAAATCAGCGACAATCTATATCTATTCATGAAAGGCTTTAGGATATCTCCGAACGTTCAGAAACTGGAGCCTCGACTCAATCGCATTCGTCCGGATGTGATCCAAATAGGAAGCTCAGATTCTATTGAGATTACACTTCAATGTGTTCTTAGAACTGAGAAAGTTTTGAACATAGTTAAGAAGATCATTTATATAGAAAGTAAGTTAAACACATGCTCCTTGACAATAAAGTTCGTATTCCACACACTAAACTTTCAATGCTATCGATTCTAGAAATTTCAGAAGTCAAAGGAGCGTCTGCTGTCTGTAATTCGATTGCATGTGTCGACATATAGGTGTACATTAGTGTTTATTTTGGTGTAAATGGGATCTCCAAACACAATGGAGAACTATTACGGTACCCAAGATGTTTGAATAAAAGAATGCACCTGGTTACGATGTTTGACCGCACTTATATCAAAGTCAGCTGGAAGAATATAGGCCTGGGATCTAGCCTCATCGGCTTGCACCCGGAACTTGCCATCCCCGCTGGTCTCACTCACTTACTGACCCCATCTGTCATGACAAGTGGTGGTCTCATTTCTGCTTCGTTTTTGGTTAATTCTCTTCATCAGCCTGATTTAGAGGGCCGGGTGACCAACTAAGGTGACAACACTTCCGCTACCCACTGTCAGTCCTGCCTGTTTTATACGTACTCTAGTTTTCTGTCAATTTTATTTCATCACGGGACACCCATTCGTACACATTTATTTGCCAGTTAAGTTGTTGCCCAGACAATCAAAATAATCAAAGTTTGCTTGGGACCTACATGATTCTATAATAATTCCACATATAAATGCCTTAGTGTTCGTGTGTTGCAGTGTTTTTGATAAACTGGTCTGAAGGGCTACCTAAGAAAGCGTCTTATGCTCCCATATTTTATTAATAACATTGCGAAAATTTAAACCTACTTAGTGTTTACTCCACCCTGGCTAGGTTGAATGTTGTATATGTTACTAACGCTTATCATGTATTAATTAAATGGGTCAATACGTTTCTTTCTTTATACAGAAGCCCTGCCATTTATATTGAGACTTACTGTTTGTAAGTGGGATCTGGAATATTCACTAGACAACGGGAAACTTTGCGATGGGCAGAATTGTTGGCATGTATGATGCGAAGTTGGATTACCTTCTTTGTTTACCTTAGGTTAGGCTTGCTTAGGCAGGGTCATTGTATATGGTGGTTTCATGCAGTGGTGGTGGGCCTCGGAGGTATGTCCATTGGGCTGCAAACTGAAGTTTTCCTGCGGTTTGTATTCCAACCAGTGGTATTTATCGGTAGCATCACCAACCCTAAGTGCTCGGTCATTCGCAGGAACCATGGGCTCTTTTCTACTTAATCCTACTTTTTATTAGACTATACTGATTGTTCATAAATACAGATTAGATTTGAGATTATCTCATCTGTTTTTAGGGGGAAGGGTGAATTTCAAGCCGAGTAACATTACTTTAACCTGTGAATGAGTAAACTGCATGTTTATAAGGCTGTGTATGTGCTGCATAAGATGCCGGGACGGAAGTCAGATGCCACACTTCAGATTGCATACAGAATAGGACCCAGTGTTTTGGACACTGTCTGCGAAATTCTCAAATTCCATTTGACGAACGAAGTGAAAATGGTTCAGGGGTCTCATGAAGTGCTATGAGATCCCAAGGAATTTTCAGCCTAACAGAGTTTGTCAGTGATCCTCAAACAGTTTGCGAGCACAGTGCAGTTAGCATGACACAAGATATACACGATAGGAACGCCTGTGCCATGATGAATCCCGAAAATATGTCTATCGCAACGTTGCCATTGGGCTTGTGAACATCCTAGACACTGTTCTCAATCATTTATCCGCACATTGTTTGAATGCCTCTTTCAGGATTTCCCATATCCAGGAATGTATTCTGGTTAAATTCGATAAGTTTTTCCTATTGATGTCGATCCCTTTTGTACCAATTGCTTGCGTTAGACCACCGTTTTTCGTCATCTGCCTCAATGACAACAGCGATTTCTAATAGGAAATTTGACTTTCATGTTAAAGTGAACTATTTCAACTCTGGAGCTCAGGTTGTCGGTAGACAACTCCCGTTGATGCTACTTACAACGCTAGTGAAAGGATGCAAATCAATGGCTGGCACGTGGAACGCGACATATGAAACAGCTGAGTTTATGCTGTACACTGGCCACCTAAAATTTATATTTGAACGACATTAAAGTTACCTTAGCATTTGCCTTTAATTCAATTATTCAGTGAGAAGTGGAAATACGTCAAACAATGACCTAGATGCATACTTCTTCATTGGTCATCCAGACTGTTCCAGCGCCGCAATATGAGTTGAGAACAGCCAAACGAGTCACTCCAAGGCCGAAAGACTGTCATTCATGATTAATCTCTACAAGAATGACACGAAACTTAGTGGCGAAACGATAAATCATCATCGTGACTGACAGAAATACCAGAGAAGAACACATACGACCATGTTAATTTGTCTGAAGAGAAATATTTAAGAAAGGGGAGACAAAAATAAAATGGTGGCGTAGGTAAGTATAGTCTGTCATAGACATTTGAGGAACTCACACCTCTAACACTCAGCTAGACAATCTGGATAGAACCTGGCAGCAGGGAAGCCAACAATATGGGTTGGTCATATATTCAGCCAAGCGCAAGGAGGGCTATTCGGGTCCCATCTTCGAAGCTGAACGAAATCCATACGTAGTGTTTTATCCTTCATTCATTTCGGTCAGGAAACATTCATGTTTCCATATGAGCATTTTGAAAGCTGCGGACATCTTCAAGAAAGTATCTAAAGAAATTGTCATGAAAAACAGACATTCTTTCAAGCAGGAAAGAGGGACTTTTCGCTGAATTCCCAACCATTTCATCAAGTAAATGTGCACGATTTTACTCATTTTGCTCACGCTTCGCAGGGGTTTAAGAGTTCGATGGCTCAGAGAACAAGTTACAATGAATATGACCTGGATCTTCGTGACAAGCAAAAGTACCAAGTGTATCCATAGTGCAAATGACTGAAGAATCTTAAATGAAACTATCGTTGATAGAGGTGAATCAAAGCGCCTCGTAATTTAGTGTGTTGCATACTCGTCTGTTTCCCGTTTTTCCACACGTATCGACTCAGCGGAAAATCAACCTATGGTTGGCTGTTTTTTTCAGTCAAATAATACGTAACCTCTAATATGAGCACATTTTTAGACTTTTCGAAGTCGCTTTTAGACCAGGCGGGTATAGTGGCGAACGGACTATTTCGGTTGATTGTTCTGGGAGTGAGTGGCACGAAATCTAAACACGCTGAATGGCTTAAATAATGATTCACCATGTTTCAACCCTGGATGCCTAACGCCAGGAAAGGCGGAATTTCTCACATTTCGACTCAAAATATGTGTCAGCGCAGAAAATGAAACCACATAGCCTGAAAAATCCTTGATCTTGAATTTAAGCTACTAGTGTCTTTTTTAATTTTAACCAGGTATGCTGTTCGACGAATTTTCCCAGTCTCCTGTTTGCCTTTATACTTCCGCAATGCATAACATGGATTTTATGAATTTAATTTTAATCTTTGCTTCCGATAGTGAGATTTGTTTAAAGCATCACTGCTAGAATTTGAGTTTCGTTTTTTTGCCTCCCAGAAATCGGCCATCTGCAGTCTACTCAAGGCCTCGTTTTTTCTAAGGACGATGTAGGAGTTCCCTACAAACCTTGTGTGTTCATCGCCGAAAAAAACATTGCATCTCCTAAAATTTCGATTCAAAGGATTGATGGACCGGATGGTTTCATCGAGATAGAGCAAGATTCGATAATTCCGATAGTGGATGGTCCGTCGCCGATAGTAACGTTTAAGTGTTCGGTAACTACTAAGGATGGTGTGCTCATTGACAGCGCACGAATTCGGACCATGATCTTTGGTAAGTAGTGTTTGGTGTTCCCATTTTTTATCATAGGAATACCGTTGAGGTCTCTGCGTAACTTTCTCCTGTTCCGCTTAGCAGCTGAATGCGTACACCTAACCAGCCATTCATTATAATACTTCATGTTTCTACCATGGAAAGCTGGTGACCACTTAAGTTGGGATTTCCTCGAAATCCGGATCTGCTTTTGGAAATCTGCAGTCACTTACTATATTCTTAGATAGATTTTCGATGGTCCTTTTTCCGTTAGTTTGTATTAAACTAGCGCGTCATCGTTTACGGATGTCAGCTTATTCCTACTACTAACACTCGGAATGACCATGGTTGGTGTGTAACATGATATCTCTCACTCGTCCATCAAAACCCCATCAAAAAACCTCTGCTGGAATGCGAAAGCTTTCTGCACAGAAACCTACCTTGAGAGAACAAGTCCATTAGATCCAACTCATTAAGCCGTCATATTAAAGGATCTCTCCATGTGTAACGTTCCCCAGATTGATTTAGCCGGTTGTCCAGTGTTAGATACTTAAGAAAACGTGTATCCAGATGTTGATTGCGGGCAATAAAATTAAGTTAGAAAGCAGCAAAGCTTTCTACAAATGTGAATGGCAAACAACTCGTTACCCCTTGTGCCCCAAATAATCAATTCTTTCAGTTATTATGTGAAAATATGTCTTCATGATGGCCCATTATTTTTTCTATCGTTTCCTAATTACGTTAGGATGGATGAAAACATCACTGTTTTCTAAGCCCCTGTGATAGGAGTGCAAATGGTTGTCATAGAGGCCCGCCATAGCACATCCTTATTGAGTATGTGAAACAGTCACTTCAGAATTCTATCCCTCTTTCATAATTGCTTTAGAAAGGATAACTCAAGTGCAATTTTACTGCCTTTCTGCGGGAGGTGCATTGAGATTTGTAACAACTAATTTTTTAATTGTTGTTCATCATTATTCGAATAGGAGACTAACTCCGTTCTCCAAAATTTGATTATTCTGCGCCACAGGGGCCAAGACTGGACAATTTGGATTCTACGGTTTACATTATTAGGCGAAATTTAGTTTCGGCTGCCTACAAATAGTTGCATTCAGCCATCGGAAGTTCAGTATTATACATTAGGATCTGTCTAAACTAATCTGCAACTAACTTGATGCTCCTAAGCAGTCTGTGTTTAAAGATCACATGTTCTGCACCACTCGCCAAAAATGCTTGTGGCTCTTATGCAATCATTGGCATACACATAAAGTTCATGAAGTTCATACGGTTCATATTTTTCATGGTATGCTCCAACCTCACCCGCAGTTGTTGTGGTGTCGTTCATGGAGACGACTCACATGTGGAAAGGGGGCCTCCAGATTTCACCAGTACCATCAACTTATTTGTGAATGATTGGAAGCTTCTTACGCAAAAGTAAACAAACATTCCACGTTGTTATTTCGCACTGTCGAAACAAACGAATCGAAGACCTCACTGTTTTTCAGTGCCTTACTTCAACTTTTGTTCTCCATGGGTTAGAAATATTTTACCTGTTTACTGCTGAATTGAGTTTTTTCATCTGCTTCTGTTCATAAACGGGTAATATTGGAACTGCTGCACAACAGTTTCTCTGTTTAAGGTAAGTATTTAGATCGGTCCCAAAGCTCTCAGCAACGAAAGTGTTCTGCCCTGAGAGTTATCAGGTTGGTGTTGGGGAATCAAACAGTAAAACATTTGATTTGGAGGCTGTAGACTCTAAACCGTCCGTCTATCAACCGGTATATAAACCTTCAGATGTATGGTTTCATGAATTATTGATCAATTGAGACGTTCGTCTAACTACAGGGAAGCAGGTTTGCTGTTTTGTTTGATTGAGAGTTGATCTTTGCGAAGGAGCTTACAATTTCACACTTATGTACTCGCTTCAGTTATTCGGCGGCTGGCTAAGGCTCAGAATACACACACCTCTGAATTGAAAGTCTGTCCTGTCCGTCTGAAGATGGTGAATTTCGTTTGAATATTAGTGCAACTTCCGCGTTTCCTTGCAAATAATCTTCCAATCTATATCTTCATTTGGTTGTGCATTGTTATTCTTCCTGTTTATTTTCCTTTTTATCTTCTTCCGAAGACGGAGTTCACCTGAGTGTCTCCCCAAATAAGCTTCAACATCACGTGAGAATCGGAGACAAGTGGACTATCGGTTGTATGGTCGATCCGCCAGCGCATTTCCTCAACCATGCACGTGCAGTTCACTGGCACCTGACCTGTTCCCACCGGGAAGATTGTGAATACACACTCCACTCAGCCTGGCTGGTTACTGTACCAAGGGATTTTGATATCCAGAGTGGCGCCTATTGGGCAAAATGTAGCCTGATACAGGACGACAATGTCGTCTCCAAATTAATAACGGTGATTGTGCATCGTAAGTCGATACGCCTCCCAGTCTGCATCAAAACTCTTTGAATTTTTTTATCATTAGGTTACTATAATAGTCTTCCTGTTTTATGTCGGCAATTTTACTATCGAAATCCCTCTGCGGAGGCTGTAAGTAGGTTTTATAAGTTTTGTTTTGCGGTGGTCTGCAAGAAAACCTTCTGTAACTAGTTACAGCTATGGGAGTTTTCCTAAACACTGCTTCAAAAGTAAGAAGAACTGATGTCCGCAATTGAGAAATTCTCCAGACCGCGTTCTATACGTCGTGCCTACACCTTTTGTAAGGCTCTGTATCAGGTCGTCTGCCAGATAAATTTGGTCATTATAACTTAGGACGTTTTTTGTCAGTTTACTCCTAAACTGAATTTGGCTGGAAGGTTATTAGCATTTTGCTTACAATATGTTCGCATTAAACAAGCGAACAAAATATACCATGATTTTCCGACTGGCATCCAACAATCAGGCCCCCCAACTAATCTTATAGTCATTTACATCTGCTAAGTTCCTTGGTTGTTTAGTACACGTATAAAAAACTGAACCCGGCATAAAAAGTCCCATGTTGTACTGAATCCAGATTGACTTACCAAGAGTCAGAATTGCATAAGCATAGTTTCATGAACTGTATGCCAGAAAGGGATAACCTAAGCCACATTATTCCCGTCCTACTTTGTGCATCAAGCTACATGAATGCCAGTGATACATCCACTGAAACTCGAAATGTTCAGTAAGGCAACTGACTACCTAAGCAGACCGTATTCACCCAGTTAAGCGTCACATACACATCACAAGGTGCCTTATGAGAGCTGACCAACTAACCGGTGCATTTCAAACACAATATAATCAACTAATATGCCTAGCACACCTCCAAACGATTCGTCAAAGGCGACAACACCCAAATGTGGCCACTTTAGTAGGTGTGAAAACACAACTAAACGGCGTCTATTGCCCACAGATATCGAGTGTACAGACGACGTAATCCTTCTTGGATCTAACACCGTCGTAATGCAAGCAATATTAAATAATACAAATAATTCTCCCTCACGGTTTGGCATGCGCTTCACATCTGCAAATTTCAAGGTGCCGCTTCAAGACTAGATAGGCTCGAAACCTATTCTCATGCTCGCAGATGTGCCGATTGAGGTATTAAACAAATTTCCCTGCTTGGACAGCTGTGTCGGTGGTCTTGCAAAATATGAAATTTTCGTCCGGGTTGGGAAGGCCAGAGCAGCTTTCGTGAACCTGCATCACCTGTGACGTAAGCGTCACATAAGCTTATCCGCCAAGGGTCGTGTCTACAATGCTGCAATGCTCTCCATACTACTGCACGGATCATAAACCTGGCTGCTGTACGCCGAGGACGTTAAAATACTTTAAATCATATACCATCTATTTCTCCTTAGCATTGCTCGAGTCTGGTGAAAACACAGAATTAGTACTGCTGACGTGAGTCGGGTGGTTTCCGAAGAAATAAATCGCCACGTTCTCCGTATGACAGTCGACCGAATTCCTTGAAGATTCTTTTGCCGTATCAAGTGAAAAGCGGAAACAAACCAGGGGAGTTCAAACAATGTCTTGGCAACGAAGTATGAAGTCCATTACCAGGAAACTCAGCCCTGCTGGCCATTGGCGTCGCCCTGGATGAGGACTCCGAGACGGACCACATCAATGGTTACAAAGATTGCCAGCCAGGGCTCGATCGCGCCCTCAATGACGATTGTGTATTCAAGATGTTTCATTCAAGTGCCCGCATAATACACTCAAAAGTCTACTGACAACCCGGTATTTACGCATCAAATGCATCATCTCTCAAGTCCAGTGCTCGACTACATACCACACCTTCCCAAATAATTGGTGAACGAAACTGTGGCAGCTATAACCACTGTGCCACAAATACGCGGTTCTTACACCTAATATTGATGATGACGATGATATGGTCTACAGAAAACGGAACAGGCTACTGAAGTGCTTATCGTCAGGACTAGCAACAACTCTCATTCAACTACTTGCATGGTGCAAGTAGTTTATGTAGTTGAGGGCTAGTGGCGTCTCCCTCGAAAGCACAACTTACTTCACGAAGGGTTCACGATGTATTCAGGCATATTTGAGGCGTATTCTATCAAATACTCATCACTTTCGGACAATCGAAACGCCATCCTCGCACTTGCAGTCCTTAATATACTGCAAGAAGCGTATCACAACCTAGGGATTCCGTTGGGTTCAGATGAGTCTCCCATCAAAACCAAATTGGTATGCAAATTAGTGTGTTTCTCTAAACACATTCCCATATATATATATATATATATATATATATATATATACACCCGGCCCCACGAGAGGT